TTTAAAGTGAAGAAATCATCAAGGAGCAAAAAATTGATGAAACAGCTAGATCACGAGAGGAGAAAAAAGAAAGGTGAAGAGAAAATGCAAGTGGACTCTGAGCAAGCAAACATGTCCATTAAACAGGAAAAAGATTTAGAAATAAAGACAGATGATCTAGTAGTAAGCCATCTCTATGATGTTTTATTAGTATTAGAATTTCTTCAACTTGTATCGCTTACAATATCTAAAACATAATTTGCTTTTTTCATTATCCATCTGGACTGTCAAGTATACCTCATAAAATCAATTTTTACAAACTGTTTCTATATAAAATTTGGATAACTTATTGATTGTAAAATATGATGATATTCATATATCAGGTGAAGAATGGCATATCAATGATTAATATTTTATCCATATTAAATTATATACATATATTGTATGCTTCATGCATTACAAGTTAGATCTTGTTATTAAAGTTTATTACTAACTTTGAATTATGTATTTATTAACTTTGCATTTTTTCACCATAAAAATTTTGTAAAAAAATGATTACCAAATTTTAATATATAAGATATTATTTTTAATATAATATAATAATTTAATAATTAACAATTTTCATTTAATGATTAATATCAATTTTTATCAGGTAAAAATAAAAAATACAGGACCTTTAATTTTAAATGGACGAGCTGCATTGGCAGCTGGAAAAGATGATTACATGTCTGATGAAGAAGATGACGAATCACATAAATTTAGAAGAAATACAGATAAAGCTGATACAATGAAAATTCTTCTGGAAAGTATGTGATCTATTTTTGGCCTTTATTTTTATATTAAGAGTTCAATTTCTAATCAAATTATACAAAATTATAGGTGGATGTATACCTGATGCAGCAATGATTCATGCAGCTAGGAAGTGTCGACAAAAGGCAAGAGAGTTGGGAGCTGATTACATTCCTATAGAAGAGCAAAGGTAACAATAAATGAGAATCAGCAAGAAAATTGATAAATAACCGCAATGTAAAATTTGAATTTAATTGTGAAAATTCTACAAGGTGGTCACATGACTTGTGTGGTCAAATTTAATAACAAAGCAAAATTTTCTTAGCACACGAGAATAAACGTTTACGTAGCTATCCGACTGTGCAATCTTCTCATTATGTGGATTGTGTAGTATGAACATTAGTGGCTTACAAAATTTGAAACTAATAATTCAATAACGTATACTAAATATATGGTTCGACATAAAGTATTCTCCTTTATATTATATAACATTTATCTCAAACATTTTTTTTGCAGTTTAATACTTGGGAAAAGATATCATGCATGCATTTTAGTTGTACTTACCGTAAATACATACATGCATACACACGCGCGCGCGCGCTTTTATAGTACATAAATATGTTTGATCTTGGCTGTCATAGACGTGAAGATTTCCGGATCAGTGAAGATCTGTGCAAGAAAGATACCCCAAAATTGTCCTTGAGAATGATTTTCAGGGTCAAATTTTTTTTATTGCATTGTATTCTACGCATCATGGGGCTAAAAAGTATCAAACGAAACATGAGTCGGAACTCAACAGTTCTCATAAAAAATAATACCAAAGTCACATTAACATTACACATTAAGTGCCGCGTCGTACTGGTCCCTATGGTCCAGCACTAGATATGCTGTTTACGGCAGGCAAAGATGCCGCGCCGGGCCTTATTATGTTGTGCTTTTATTCTAGGCACAAATGGAAGATGAGCTAAACTTGGTTCGTCAGTGGTCATTTAACATGTAATTAGAATACATATAAAACGCAGTAAAAATGTTTAAACTTGAAAATCAGGCTCAAGGATAATTTTGTAGCATCTTTCTGTAAAAACAGATCTTCACCGATCCGAAGGTGTAGAATACACCTATAACAACCAAACATTTTTATACACGCTGTACACATTCGCGTTCACCATAGTACTTATTATTGTCAGAATTTTCTGAGTTTATTGAAACAAGTATGTAGCACACACACAAATACTGACATATTAAATATAGTGCTATAATGTGTGCGTGTAAGTAATATTTATCTATGTACAGCTATATTGAACTATGGTGAATATAAAGAAATCTTGGTGTTCAGAATTATTGGCAAAAGATCATGCTATGCAGAAATATTTTACATATTTTGTGAATATACATATATTGATTTTTATAGTGATGATAAAGGGAAATCGAGACTTATTAGAGAAGAAGATCATGACAGAAGTGACGATGATGATTCTCAAGATCGAATTGATATGACTGTTAATACTGAAGCTCGTGATAAAGAAAAAAGAAGAGAAGCATTTCTTGCATCACAAGTACCAATAAAACGTAAGTTCTTTCTTGTATTCATGCAATAATGGCACTCTCCAAAACAAATTTTAAACTATTTTGTTTTATCAGTTGAAAATAATATCTATCTTCTAACTTTTTCTTTAATGGATTCCAAGAGAAGAAGGTCTATTTTTACAAAGGTGCGCTTAGATTTTGCCTCAGATCCTTAATTATTAAAATAAACTCTCTTTCTTTAATCCTTTTGATATCAACTATATCGACTGTAGTTGACGGTTGCCAAATGTATTCTTATGGATAAGTATAACCAGCTGGTCTAAATATTATTTAAAACAACGAATGTTCGTTGTAAATTAAATTTCTTAAAAATTGAGGGTAATGGGGAGAAATGATTATTGGGTTCAGTATCAAAATTTCTAAGAATGACTACTTCGTTAATTATTGCTTATTGAAGTACCACAAGAAGTTAAAATTGGTCGGTAGTGTAATTAATATGTTATTATAGTAGTAGTAATATGTTACTATTATACTTGTTATTGATACATGATGCGATTTTTATCGTTAGTTTCAGACGACGAAAGCGAACACGAAAATGAAGAAGAAGAATGGGAAGCTCAGCAAATAAGGAAAGGTGTGACAGGTGCACAGGTAATATATCTTTTTGTTTCATTCATTCCCGTAATTATTTTTCTATCGCATTTTATGGTAAAAAAAATTGTAGATTGCAGCAGTTCAACAGGATTCTATGATGCAGCAGCAATTCACACTAGGTATGAATGTAAATCAAATAATTGGAAGTGGGGTACCTTTAGAAATGGTAATGATGCCAGCTCCACCACCCCCGCCAACAATACAACCACCAGATCCAACAAAAATAGTACCAGTTACTCCTCAGGAAGTTGTCAATAAGATACGTGCAAGGTGGTAAATTATTCAGAACCAAATATCTATCATTGATAATGCAATATTTGCATTATTTCTTTTTTTCTCGCTTATTTCTTGTTTTAATATACATTTCAAGTATTACAATTTGAAAAATCTGATATAAAAAATATAATTTTTTAGATTGGACAGTCTAAAAGAAGTACACCGACGTCATCAATTAGATCAGGATCGTTTAGAGCAAGAATTAGGACAAACTATGAAAGAACTGGACGATGGCGAAATTCGCGCACCGCAGCTTGCACAGCGCTTCAGATATTACCAAGAGTTGCGTGGGTATGTCACTGACTTGGTAGAGTGTCTTGATGAGAAGGTGGGTTTATACGCTGTCACGTTTTTTTATGTGCACTGGGGTTTTCCATGCAATTTCTGGCTGCGTAAATCATCCAGCCACATAGAAACAATGCATTTTTCTTTGCCATCATTTCAATTTTTATTTTATTATCTTATTTATATTATATTATGGATAAAATATGATTCTTTTATAGTTTATAGTTTCAATTTATGTTATTAGATGTACTTTAAAAAGAATCAAATCCGTTTAAAAAATTTTAATTTGTTTCTAAACTTATGACTATCTTTTAATATATTTTGGTTGCACGTATTTTGTTTCTAATAAAGAAAAATGTATGTCAAAGATCAAAATATTCAAAAAATTAAGAAAAATTTATCATGTATTCTTATATTGCCGGGGGTCTATATCTTCTCTGTATGAAAAACTTATTTGTAATAGAATAAAAATTACTTTTAAGTATTTATTAAAAATTGAAAAAATTAATATGAGTGGTAAGTAAATTGATATTGATTTTAAACTCGTTCATAAGCAACAGATATCCAATGACTGTGGAATTACATATTGAATTCTAGTAAATGTTACATCTTATAAATTATTTCTATACGAAAAATGATTTCATTATCTGCAAGTTGTGGAAATCATTTCTTAGAATAAACATAATTCCCAAAGTCATTGAGTTAATACATTGTGTGAATGTTAACATGTAACTTTTTTGTTAGCTGCCTCTGGTTGTTGGATTGGAGCAACGTTGGTTAGATCTTTATAGCGAGCGTGCGACTGAACTAATGGAGAGAAGACGGCAGGATACAAGAGATCAAGCAGAAGAAATTACAACAGCTGCAAGTCAGTTATTTTAGTATATTTCTGCTGCATAGTTTTAAACCAATTTCTAATGTATTAAGGTTATCAATATAAATGTAATAAGTATTTCATTACGATTTTTAATCGCAACAATAAATATTTTTTATGGCTTCACGTTTAACATAAACTGCTTTACAAATTTTAGGAGGTCAGCCTATACGAAGGGGGCCAGAAGTTGAAGCTCGTATTCGTCGAGCAACGGAAAGAGAAGGCAGAAGAGCTCGTCGAAGAAGAGCTAGAGAACTAGCTCCTACATTACCAAAACATATTGACGGAATGTCTAGTGACGATGAAGTCACAGAACAGCAAAATCTTGCTTTTAAACAAACAAAAGGTTGTATTTTATTAAATTCCACAAAGTTTATTGAAATGAAACAAACCAGCAGAATATCTTAAATTCTTAAAAATTTGCACCTATTTCTACTTATCTTTATATAACTTTATATAACTTACAACTTTAGATGAAATTGATAATGAAAGCAAAGAAATTTTCTTTGATGTAATGGATGAGTACTGCACCTTAAGGGGAATATTATCGAAGCTGGAATCTTGGAGAGAAACAGACAGAGATGCTTATATGGAGGCGTATGTTTCCTTATGTATACCGAAAATCATATCCCCTATCATTAGATTGCAACTGCTCACATGGAATCCAATTATGGTATTTATTTCTACGAATTTTATATACTATATTATAGCGAATTTGTTGATGTATAATTTTACGTTTTTATATTAGGAGAGCGCTGATATAGAAAGAACAAAATGGTATAACACACTCTTGTTATATGCATTAGATAATAAAGAAACTGAAGAATCGCTCAAAAGGGATCCAGATATTAGATTAGTACCATCTACGGTGGAAAAAATTGTCTTACCTAGATTAACATGTAAGATTGTTATGTTTAGCATAACTCAAGTATCATATTTTGTTACAAATTTTTCTTGTGTAATTACTGATCGTGAATGCAAAAATAATTTATGATTTATTGATTTTTCTTTAGCTATAGTCGAAAAAATATGGGATCCAATGTCAACATCACAAACATTAAGACTCGTAGGCACAGTGAATCGTCTTATTAGAGACTATCCTAATTTAAACGATACAAGTAAACAATTAGAGACACTATTCAATGCCATATTAGAAAAAATAAAAGCCGCAGTTGAGAACGATGTTTTCATACCAATTTTTCCGAAACAGTGAGTACACGTTGTATTCTTTTCCAAAAACATCAGTAGTGAATTATAAGAAGTAACAATAAGTTTATTTTTCAGAGTTTTGGATACTAAACATCAATTTTTTCAAAGGCAATTTTCAATGGCTGTCAAACTTTTGAGAAATTTATTAAGTTGGCAGGGTCTTCTTGGCGATACACAATTAAAAAATTTGGCACTTGGTTCATTGTTAAATAGATATCTTTTAGCCGGTTTGAGAGTTTCTGTTCCAACTGATGCTTTATTTAAGGCAAACATGGTAAGTTATTATTACCTTAGTTTCCAATTAAATACAGTTTTACTTTAATCGACTTGTTATTAGTTCTATTTCATATTTATTATGAATGAATCAATAATTGTGCTATATTCTTGTAACAGGTAATGAGTACATTGCCCCGTGCATGGTTGCAAGGTGAAACAATAGAACATTTGAGAATGTTTGCTACACTTATTCAACAGCTTAGCGAACAATTGGATCAAGCGAATCCAGCGCATAAGTAAGTATAAATTATTAAATTAAATTCTATCAATTTAATTTTATAATTTACACAATTCTAAGATATATCGGCAAATTTTCCAATTTTTACCACAAAATATTTACTTACTGTTTGTAGTACTAAAAACAAAATTAATAAGTAGATTGTATCGCAGTGTAAATTAACTATTCACTTTTACAGTGAAGCCTGGGAATACTCGAAGTCCATCCTGAAAATAATCAAGCCTTTGTAATGTATTAATCATGTACGCATTTCTTGATAAATTTATGATACCTTTATT